GATCTCAAAACCAAGAAAAAAAACAACCGGAGATGACATACCTAAGCGACTCACCGGGATGGCGACAAGCTCGACAGACGTCGACGGTGCCATCCTTTAGGATGTATCTCCGATAGTTGTTGGTCTTAATAACCTGATCTTGTATTGAACAGACAAAACCCTCGGTTTCCCCGAAGAGGTCACCGAAACGTAGCCAGTTGAGGGAGGCGACTGCATCTACGAAGGGCTCATGAAGAGCCCTGTAGTACCTCCCGTGGAGCTCCTTCTCCTTCCATACGGTCTCCCAGTCGGAAATGCTAAGCACTGCTGGGTCCTGCCATTGCTCGTGGGCTAAGGATAGAGGGGCAAGCCCTTTGTCACTAGAAATGACGTCATTATATAATAGATCATCCGATCTCGCCAGGAAGTAATCACGGAGGCTGCACACTTCGCATGGATGGCATGCATGGTGAGCGCTCTCAGAAAACCACGCCCACCATGCTTTCGCGGCAAGTACAGCCTCATTAAAGTCGATCTCGGATGATGCATCCTATGGGGCGTCATGGTAGTGCGAACTTTTCTATCCAGGGCGTTAAGTTCGGTCCGAGTCCACCTGAGTATGCCAAAGGTATGTATGAGGACAGGCATGACCCAACCGTTATATGCGTGTGTCTCATTCACACCGGACAAAAGGCTGTTAAGCACTTTGGTCAAGCGTGCATAAAACACGTAGCAAACTGACTGTTTCATACCAGCCTCATCGATACCGATGTTCTGTGACATACCCAGGTATCGGTATGTTTCAGCATCGGAAAGGGTCTATAAGTTGACGGGCATAGATAAATCTATGCCCTCAGAGTTAGCAACCCTTCCCCTTTCAACATGAAGGACCACACACTTATCCGTCCCCAGCTCCATTCCAATAGAATTGCTAAATTCACAAGTGATGTTTAGCAATTCCATAAGATGGGAGCGACTGGAGGCGAATAACTTGAGGTCATCCATATAGAAAAGGTGGGTCACTTTTTTCCCTCCTTTCCGTAGCAGAAATCCCCTCCCGGAGCCCTCCAGTAAGGTACTGAGAGGGTTCAGAAAGAGGCAGAACCAGATTGGACTCAGACAATCGCCCTGGAAGATACCCCTTCTTATCCTTATGTGGTTCTCCGCAGCCATCATCTGCTCGCCCAGATAACAGAGGACCGTACTCCACTGCCCCACACACTGCTTGAGGAAGTCTCTAACTGTACAGTCAATCATGTACAGCTCGAGGACCCTCTTTAGCCATGTATGGGGCACCGAGTCGAATGCCTTTCTGTAGTCTATCCAGGCGGCGGAGAAGTTCCGACGGTTGCGTTTCACCACTTTACCAATGACCGCGTCAATGAGGAGTAGTTCCTTGGTTCCACGACCACCGCCCCGACATACATTTTGAGCGCGTGACATCACCTGATTTAGCTCCAGGTGACAAGTGATTCTCGCGCTCAAAATGGATGTCAGTGTCTTATATATAGTGGGTAGACACGTGATGGGGTGGTATTTGCTCGGGTCTGTGGTATCCTGATCTTTAGGAACCAAGTGAGTGATACCAGTAGTGAAGAGGCTCGGGAGCGACTTCTGATCGAGCGCCTCTTGACACTGTCGGGCGAGCACAGCGTGACACACTACGAACCCCTTCAGCCAGTAATGATGCAGCGCGTCGAGTCCCGGACTTTTCCAGTTCGGGGCCCTACGGACCACCTCAGCCACATCTTCAGGCATCACTTGCACTCTGGCTCGCCACAACTTCCATCCAAGGGCCCTCGCTGTGGTTTACGGGCTCTGGCCACAGGCCACGCCAAAATGCGACAGTGTCAGCCTGATCCGGTCCTGCGCCCGCTCCGCATACCTCTGGTCGCTCCAATGATTTATAGAGCCTCTTCTGATCACTCTGGAGGAGACGATTCTGGTTAGACCGCCTTGACCTCTCGTTAAATCGTCGAATCCGCTTCCCCCCAAGCAGCGATTTTTTGCTTCAGGTCATCTATGCGCTCCGTTAGTTTCTGCGTGATATCCGGCTGGGAAAAACTGATATTGGTCCCAGCAAACGCCATTGTAACGGTGTGCCAACCCTGGGTCTATTATTGCTCGACCTGAAGTTTGTCAGTCTGCCGATAAGGGCCCTTGCCTTTGCGATACGGTCTTCGATTATTTTTCTCCAGGCTGGTATGACACTACCTTGTTGAGTAGCACGTCCAACCATGGGAAGTTTGGCGCCAATAATACGGCATAATGCCAGTGCGGTACCAAAAAAATTGAGTCCATCTCGCAAAAGTCCCGACTGGCTTCCAAATAGGTCATCAGCATTGGGTTAAGAGCCCGCACGACAGCCCGATTTCGCTTGCTAAGGGGTATGCGGGGAAGTCGCGGTCGATTTTCGAGAGGCATGCTGCGCGTTTCCAGCATCGATTCTTCCAATATGCTCCTCATTTTCTCTAGTTGGTGGGGGACTATTCCATCATCGTCTGAATCAACCACAAATGGAATATTGACGGCAGCGTCCACATTTGCAGTTTGCTGCGCAATTAGTGGCGCCGCATTTTCAGCCGTAGCATTTCCATCCGATGAGGGAACAGCCTCACGTCGTAGTCGTTCGAGTTCAAATATGTTGGAGCGCAGGATGTACCGAACTTATTATTATTATTGTGGGGTATCTATATAGTTTTCTCATCTAGTTGGGTTCTATAAATATATAATTATAAATGAAAATGAAAAAATAAATATACATAAATATCAATAACATAAAATAAATATAAAAGTACATAAATAAATAAAAGCCCAACCAGATGGAGGCCCTCGGCAGGGGAGACCAAACGGCCGAGGGTTAGGGGGAAAGGGAAAGAAACCGGCGGACGATGCGGGCGGTATCGAGTAGCACCGCCTTCTGCATTTGAACCTGGAGCGGTCCGCCACGTAGTCCCAGCCGCCTCAGATGACCCGAGAGACTGACTGGGATTAGCCCGTTTGCAGAGACGACTACAGGAATAATTTCGGTCGGCAGACCACCCCACATGTCGGTCACCTCGTGAGCCAGGTCCAGATATTTTGTTTGCTTGTCTGTTTCGGCTTTCACGAGGTTCTCGTCATACGGAATGGTAATGTCGACCAAAAATATCCTTGACTGTGCCCGGTCCATCAGCACAATATCAGGCTTATTCGCAAGAATAATCCTGTCTGTGATGATGGCCCGGTCCCAATAGAGCCTGGCGCGATCATTTTCGAGCACGGCTTCCGGCAAGTACTTGTAGTACGGCAATTTCCGGTCCACGAGACCGTATTTCAGAGCGAGCTCCTGGTGTAGAATTCTGGCTACTAGGTTGTGCCTGTGCAAATATTCAGAGTTAGAAAGCGCCGAACAACCGGAGATAACATGCCTAAGTGACTCACCGGGATGGCGACAAGCTCGACAGATGTCGACGGTGCCATCCTTTAGGATGTATCTCCGATAGTTGTTGGTCTTAATAACCTGATCCTGTATTGCACAGACAAAACCCTCGGTTTCCCCCGAAGAGATCACCAAAACGTAGTCAGTGGAGGGAGGCTACTGTGTCTACGAAAGGCTCATGTAGAGCCTTGTAGAACCTCCCGTGGAGCTCCTTCTCCTTCCATACGGTCTCTTGGTCGGAAATGCTCTGCACTGCCGGGTCTTGCCATTGCTCGTTGGCTAAGGATAGAGGGGTAAGTCCTTTATCACAAGAAATGACGTCCATATAGAATGGATCATCCGATCTCGCCAGGAAGTAATCACGGAGGCTGCACACTTCGCGATTATGCATGGTGAGCGCGCTCAAGAAGCCACGACCACCATGCTTCCGCGACAAGTACAACCTCATTACCGACGATCTCGGATGATGCATCCTATGGGACGTCATGGTAGTGCGGACTTTTCTATCCAGGGCGTTAAGTTCAGTCTGAGTCCACCTGAGTATGCCAAAGGTATACATGAGGACAGGCATGACCCAGCCGTTATATGCGTGTGCCTTATTCACACCGGACAAAAGGCTGTTAAGCACTTTGGTCAAGCGTGCATAAAACACGTCGCAAACTGACTGTTTCATACCAGTCTCATCGATACCGATGTTTTGTGACATACCCAGGTATCGGTATGTTTCAGCCTCGGAAAGGGTCCTTAAGTTGACAGGCATAGATAAGTCTACGCCCTCAGAGTTAGCAACCCTTCCCCTTTCAACATGGAGGACCGCACACTTATCCGTCAAAAGCTCCATTCCAATGGAATTGCTAAATTCACAAGTGATGTTTAGCAATTCCATAAGATGGGAGCGACTGGAGGCGAATAACTTGAGGTCATCCATATAGAAAAGGTGGGTCACTTTTGTCCCTCCTCTCCGTAGCTGAAATCCCCTCCCGGAGCCCTCCAGTAAGGTACTGAGAGGGTTCAGAGAGAGGCAGAACCAGATTGGACTCAGACAATCGCCCTGGAAGATACCCCTTCTTATCCTTATGTGGTTCTCCGCAGCCATCATCCGCTCGCCCAGATGACAAAGGATCGTACTCCACTGCCCCATACACTGCTCAAGGAAGTCTCTAACTGTACAGTCTATCTTGTACAGCTCGAGGACTCTCTTTAGCCATGTATGGGGCACCGAGTCGAATGCCTTTCTGTAGTCTATCCAGGCGGCGGAGAAGTTCCGACGGTTGCGTTTCACCACTTTGCCAATGACCGCATCAATGAGGAGTGGTTATTTGGTTCCACGATCACCGCCCCGACATCCATTTTAAGTGCGCGACATCACCTGATTTGAGTCCAGGTGACAAGTGATTCTCGCGCTCAAAATGGATGTTAGTGTCTTGTATATGGTCGGTAGACACGTGATGGGGCGGTATTTGCTCGGGTCTGTGGTACCCTGGTCTTTAGGAACCAAATGAGTGATCCCAGTAGTGAAGAGGCTTGGGAGCGACTTCTGGTTGAGAGCCTCTTGAAACTGTCGGGCAAGCACAGAGTGACACACCATGAACCCCTTCAGTCAGTAGTGATGCAGCCCGTCAAGCCCCGGACTTTTCCAGTTCAGGGCCCTACGGACCGCCTCAGCTACGTCATCCGGCGTTATGATGACGGGGTCCATGGGCGTAATACCCGCACACTGACTCGCCACAACTTCCGTCCAAGGGCCCTCGCTGTGGTTTACGGGCTCTGACCACAGGCCGCGCCAGAATGCTACAGTGTCGGCCTGATTCGGTGCTGGACCCGTTCCACTTACCATTGGTCGCTCCAATGATTCATAGAGCCTCTTCTGATCACTCTGGAAGAGACGATTCTGGTTGAACCGTGTCGACCTCTCGGTATATCGCCGAATCCGTTTTCCCCAAGCAGCGATTCTCTGCTTCAGATCATCTATGCGCTCCGTCAGTTTTTGCGTTATATCCGGCTGGGACAAACTGACATTTGTCCCAGCAAACGCCATCCTGACGGTGCGCACAATTCTTGGCCTGTTGTTGCCTGATCTGAAGCATATCAGTCTGCCGATGAGAGCTCTAGCCTTTGCGATACGTTCCTCAATTCTTCTTCTCCATGCTGGGATAGCGCTACTATGGCCAGTAGCGCGTCCAGCCGTGGAAACCTTGGCGCCTATGATACGGCAGACTGCCAGCGCGGCGCCAAAAAGAATTGAGTCCGTCTCGCAAAGGTCCCGGCTGGCTTCCAAATAGGTCACCAGCATTGGGTTCAGAGCCCTCACGACAGCCCGATTCCGCTTGCTTAGGGCTATGCGGGGAAGTCGCGGTCGATTTTCGAGAGGCGTACTGCGTTTTGTTTTGTTATTATTATTATTATTATCATTGGCCTCCCCCAAGAAATGCCACAGTTACCTTTACCATTACAGCCTATTGAGGTCCATTTCTGAATATAGGTCTTTCCCTTAGATTATGGTGGGGATATTTGCCATAGTTGCCACGATTGACAATCGGGTTGGCAACTATAGCTTTTTATATTTAGTCTTCATTGGAAAGATGCTGCCATCTACTGATTTGTTTCCTTCTTTCGTCTCCTACGACACCCGCGAGATGATATGGGGTGGTTAATATTCTTACACCGCCACAACTTCGTAATGTCACAATTATTTATTAATAAATAATATACATAAATTATTTATTTGCTATTATATAATACATAACTTATTTTTTACACAAATGTGGGATGAGTTTCTTCTGCTATGAACTACGTGTGATTGTGTTTAAGTTAAAAGGATATGGGGAGCCAGCGTTACTATTCAGTCTGTGAGTCATTAATTTAAATGTTCAAAGGTGACATAGCATAGTTTAATAGTTCATTGCAGGTAATGATTGTAGTGATGTTAGTCCATTAGTCTTTGAAGTATTTTTTTTATATAACGTGTATTCGACAAATTTTTTATGAAAATTTTCTTATGTGAAAGAATGTTACTGATAAGTCGATAATATTTTATCACCTTGTTTCGTTATGGTATAAATTAAAAGATTACTATTAGTATACATATACGTAGCTTAATAAGACATTGCTTTTTTTCTTTCAAAAATAATTTAAAATTATGACCTATACTTAAATTAGTTAACAAAATATTCGTCATTGGGAACAAGAGTCTTATGTTACATTTCGTAAATTAAATTAAGTAGGACGTTGTTCCTAATAATGTAAAACAGTTGGGTAAACACACCCATTACATATAACGTTTCTAACGGTCTCAGCTGCAAAGAAAAATATTGCAAAGAAGCCTTTAGAGAAAGCTTGAATAATGGTCATTACCGTGCTTTACCACAACGTAGAGGACTTTTACTCTAGTCTTTTGTTCTTTTAAAATGTTTAAATTTTCATTTTTAACATTAAAAAAGATTTTAATCATATTAATTGACATTAAATATACTTTGTAGTCTGTGGTAGTAGTAGATAATGTATGAAATTATAATTTACATAACGTATCTATTATATGTATTATACTCAATTCATTACTTTTACTTTAGTTACTTGCTATAACTACACTGCAGCTATCATGGCTGCAGCACAAATGAGTTGGTTCCGCAGGAGAAGGACGGTCTTACTCAGAATACCTCAGATACTCAGAATACCAGCGTAACATACCAATACAGTGCTTTTGTGATTCGTATGGTGAGTGTAGAGAATCGGAGACAGAGACCCTTTTTACCGGTAACGAGGCATTCCATATTAGTTCTCAGTGGTGACAACTAGAAGAATAAGAAAGTTTAATAAAACTGCTTGTGAGAAACATTACAGATTGTTTTAGGCGTCCAATGGCCCCAGTAATTACTTATGGTTAACTGTAACCTCGCAAGTCAATATTTGTATAATAATTCGTGTCTAATTTATTATTTAGTCTTTCTTATTAAGAAATTTATGCTACTCTTCGTGATTCGACTACTTTTTTATCGTGGACTACGTAGGATATACTTACACTAAACGTCGATCGCACGATTGACGATAATTTATCGATTGATGATAGCACACAATTACAAGCAAAATACGTCATATCCTTAATATACCAATAGTTTTCACCAAATAAATTTTTCACCTATCACAATACATCTGGCTAACTTTGGCTATTGTTTGACCGAGACCAATGACTTAGCAAACACAAATAAATTTATTTTATGACCATTAAAAGAAAATCTTTACATTAAATAATTTAATGATACTGCAGTACATTATTAAATGCAGCTACAGCCTTAGAAATGTTATATTTTATGGTAGTCATTCTTTTACTATTTAAAATACAGACTCCCGTAAACAACTGCGGGCGCTTTTTAAAAATGTACATCACAGCTCTACTGCTGCTTTAAATATGGCGGAAGATATAACCTAACATATTTATTTCATCTCGAATTTGCAAAAGTATCGAGAAAACCATAAAACTTCATTACCGCCACTTTAATCTTTTAAAATGTTCTACAAACAAATGCTTTTAAATTTATGCGCACAACATATTTTCACTTTCGTTTCTCTTTCGCTATTCGATTTTTTTATTTGATTTTAGTAGCTTCCATCCAATCATCCGTAATAGCTTATATAAGTGCACTGCAAAAAATAAATCATAGTGCATAGATTACCATAGCTTGCCTCATGAGATAGATATCTTTGGATTAACTTCTTCTAGATATAAAAAGCTGTGTATGAGGTTCTATCTGAATTTGATGCAAGTTAATGTAATTGCTTAATTAGGTTAAATTTAATTTTTCACATCTGTGTATTATCTATATATGTGATGTGCGTGTATGAATATGTTTGTATATATATGCGTGCACATGTACATACATATATGTAAATTAGCTTGTTTTTCTCTGTATTTATTGGTGAACGGGTCGTTTTTAATAGAACATTATATTTTAATTTTTAATTGTTACGTACATAGACCCAGTGGTAATATGTGGATAACGGTGTTGATTGTATGATTATTAAGCTTAAATATAGTATTGTGTAATACTATATTTAAGCTTAATAATCATACAATATATAATAAGATTATATTGTACAATTGTTTGTTATTCCTAATAAAGAGAAAAAAAAATGAGGGGATTTTACCATAGTTGCCATGCTTGGCGGACGGGTTGGCAACCACAGTTTTTTATAGTTTTAAGTTGTTATCAGGAAGATGCTGCTGCCCATCTCATGTTTCAGTTTCCCTCCGTCGTCTCTTACGACACCCACAGGACGATAAGGGGTAGTGGTGATTCTGCACGTTATTGAATATTCTCTACCGTGTAGTAGCGGTCTAAGAGTATCCACTGCCCCACATTTTCTTATAAATAATTTAAATTTTTAAAAAATTTAACATACATACATACATAAACACTCACGCCTGTCACCCAGAGGGGTAGGCAGAGACTACAGACTTCCATTTGGCACGATCCTGACACACCTCTCTCGCCTCCTTCACATCCATACACCTCCGCATACATGCTCGTCGGTTAAGGGTACTCCTAATTTGGCCCGTTTTCAATAAATCGCCAATTTGGTCGATTAATTTTCGCCTAGGACGTCCCTTTCCGACTCTGCCATTCACTTCTGCAACATAAATTTTCTTTGTCACCCTTTCCTCATTCATTCTTTCCACATGACCAAACCACCGAAGCATTCCTTTCTTAATCCTGGTCACAACATCATCTTGCAAACCACACTCTTCTCTTATTACACAATTTCTTATCCTGTCATTAAGATTCATCCCTAACATAATCCTTAACGACCGCATTTCTACTGCGTTCATTCTACTCTCGTGCTTCTTCTGCCACACCCAACTTTCACTACCATACGTTAAAGTAGGGACCAACACAGCATTGTGAATTGACATACGTGCGTTTTTCGACACATTTTGACTCTTCACAATAGAGTGCAGGGCCCCATTTACTCTATTTCCCGCATTCACTCGTCGTTTTATATCCTTATCATATCTCCCATCCCTGCTAAATACGCAGCCCAAATATGTTAGGATCAACGGGGTCTACTCGGACTGGTTTGACATCCATAAAAGTGTCAGACAGGGCTGTATGGCTTCCCCGTGGCTGTTCAACCTATTTATGGACAGTTGTTTGCAAAATATGAAAGTTGAAGAATGCGGATTAAGAATGGGTGAGTTAACCGTCAAATGCCTTTTGTACGCCGATGATCAAGTTATCCTTGCGTCGTCGGCGGCCGAGTTGCAAATGATGGTTACATTAATGAACAGATCATTAAAAGAAAGGTGTATGAAAGTGAACGCAAGTAAGACGAAGGTTATGGTTTTTGAAAGAGAAGAAAGTAAAACGATTTGTGAAATAAGAATAGAAGGGGAGTTGATCGAGCAAGTAAATAATTTAAATTATTATAAATAATTTAAATTAGCTTAAATGTTGAATAATAGTCCGGTTATTATTAATTTAAAAAAACTGACCTAATAACCTTTCATAAATATTCAAAGCCGTTAAATAAGTAAATGCTTTAATGTTAAATTTAAATAGAATCACTAAGAATTTAGTGATTCTATTAATAAATATAACAAGAGGATATAACCCAACATATTTATTTCATCTTGAATTTACAAAAGGATCGAGAGACCCATAAAACTTCATAACCGCCACTTTAATCGTTTAAAATGTTCTACAAACAAATGCTTATGAATTTAAGCGCACAACATATTTTCACTTTCGTTTCTCTTTTCCTATTAGATTTTTATTTGAGTTTAGTAGCTTCAATCAAACCGTTCAAAGTAGCCTATATAAGTCCACTGCAGAAAATAAATCGTAAGGTTTAAGTATAGGATAATAACGAATGTAGACTAGCTTGCATTTTGAGAGACTCGAAGACAAACCCGATCGAAAATCCATATTGTTTTCTCACAAGTGTTGGACAGCTAGTGGTTAAAGCAAAGATGCGCGACGTAGCAGCTGGGCTTCTAAATACTGGACATTCACTACATTTAATTTCACCTAAATACTCGTAGCTTGTTTTCATAGGCCCTATAAAACGCTACGGTACTACAAGAAGGTACTATAGAAAGATTTGTCAAATTTTATATTAAGTTACAGCTTGATGAAATTTACTTCTGCTACAGCTATGGCGCTGCGGGAAGTGCATCCCCTTCGCCCTTGCGTAGTAAATCACAGGCACCCAGGCTCACCTCCGCAGCTTTGGCTTATTGGTCACCTTCGACAACAAGCCTCGGCCGCTGCGGCTCGCACAGGTGCCTGAGATTTGCTA